ATATATATATATATGTGTGTGTGTGTGTGTGTGTGTGTGTGTGTGTGTGTGTGTGTGTGTGTGTGTGTGGTGTGTGTGTGTGTGTGTACATACATACATACATATACTATATATATATATACATAAAATGAAGTATGCTACTTTAATACCTAAGATTTACAAAGACCTGAGATCAATAAATATCCGAGGCGCTATATTTTATGCAAGGAAGGAGGTGGTCGGTATTTACGATGGCGTAGAGGGCCAGAGGAGGCCTTTGGGGTGGGGTAAATAAATGAAAGTATGGCATAGGTACATAATATATAAAGCTATGTAACTAATAGAATCATGCTGGAGTAGTTCATTTTTCATCAATATAAACAGTCTAGTAAAAGTCTCCCGTAGCACAAGATCAAGAAGGAAAATACTCGCTTGAAACAAACGTTCCTTTTCCATAACAAAAATATTTAGACTTTCAGTTAGTTCTCATCAGTACATTTTCCTCGATGATTAGATTTTTCAACATAATTAAGCCTAAAAGGAATACGTTGCAGTTTCCTAAAATATTGAAAACATGTATTGGATATCAAACTATTAAAGATGAAGAATGCTTATTTAATATCTAGTATTTACAAAAACCCGAGATCAATAAATATTTCATTTCTGTTCCTTAAGCATAGGAGGGGGTGGGCGGCTTGTAGGATGGCTGAGGAGGTCCATAGGAGGCCTTTGGGGTGGGGTACTGAGCCTCTCCCTCGTAGGTCACATCAGCCACGTAACCGGAGTCTCCGTTCACATTGTAGGTCACCTTCTGCAGACGACCGTCGGGAAGAAGGACGTAGTAGGATCCCTGTGTGTGGTCGCCATCACGGGCTTCCTGGTGTCCGAAGTCGTTGCCAGATGGTTGGTCGTTGACGGCGTAGTTGAAGTCGTACTTGGCGGGTGGTGCATAAGAGGGTGTGGGAGCAGAGTAGCCATAGGTAGGAGGGCTATCAGGACGAGCGACGGTGGCTACCACTAGGGTGGCCAGTGCTAATACCTGCAGTACATTTGAACCATTAGAAATATTTATAGGATCAACGTTTTATGGTTTGAATAACAGAAAACTTTAACAACTGCACTTTTGGAATGACAGATTTACTTGCCTTGAATGCCATTGTGTTAGAGACTGCGGAGACTGAGACTGACGAAGACACACAGAGCCCTTTCCTTTATACAAGTGTCCGAGAAAAACCCCGCCCAGGTCGTGACGTCAGGAAATATCATCCCAGCAAGAGGACCTTGATTCGGTGAGCGAGTTTTCCCTTCGGTG